GGTCCAGCTCTGTTAGAGGCTTGTTGTGTGACCTTGGGCAAATCTCATCCCCTCTCTGGTCCTCAGTTTTCTTATTGAAGGTATTGGACTAGCTGGGGTCTAACCAGGGGTTCTTTCTACTTGTTTCTTCAGATTTTGTCTGTCTTTGAAGGTAAGGCTTGTTTAGGAACCATCTCTCTCAGAATCATTAGGGGAGCTTATTGAACAATCCAGATTCCTGGGTCCCACTCCAAACCCACTAATGAAAATCTGGGGTGGGAAAGATTGCAGAGAGTTGCAAGAATCTGCATTGTAACAAACTTTCCAGGTGGCTGAGATACTCACTGAAGTTCAGCACCCCCAACCTTCATCCCAACACTAAACCAGAGGGCCGAGGCCCGCGCAGGCGAGCCCTCAGAGCTCCCCGTGCTGTTCTGTGTCTCTAGGCTTGAGGCAGCACTGCCCAGGTATGCTCATCTGCCAGGGCCTTGGAGCCAGCAGCCTGCAGGGGCCCTTGTTTGTTTACGTCTCAGCCCAGAAGCAAATATTACTGAGGGCCTGACCTAATGATCATATTTGCCAGTCACTTTAAGAGCTGGTGACAGTGACTGTCATTGATCTTATTAAAAGTAAAGGTCGTGCAGGAGTCTGCTTTCCCAGGCTGAATGGAGCCTCCTCCAGCCACAGAATGACTATTGATTGCAGGACCTTTATCGAAGGTTAATTGGATTTCAGTGAGTATGTGTTTAAGACCCTGCCTGGGCTGAGGCCCAATTTAATTTGTGTGAAATTAGACAAGAGAAAGGTGGCAGAGTCAGGAGTGGAGAGGCAGCAGGGAGAGGTGACTGAGGCTGGGGGCCAGACATCACTGTCTGTGAAGGTGGGAGCAGATCAGGGAGGGGGACGTGGAAGGGACGCTGGCCTGGCCATCTCAGAAGCATGGAGCCAATTGGAACAAGAAGGCAAGGGCTCCTTAGTGGTCATCATGAGGACATTTCATTCCCTGTCCTCAGGGTGGCCCTCCTTGAGTGTGGTGTAGCCTTCAAAACTTGTCTGTTCATCTCTCCGGAGAGTCAGTCTCTATTTTCTGTTAGGGCAGAGGGCACTGGGGATTTAGCTGGGCCTTACAAAGTCTTTCAACTAATCTTTCCTTTTCAGCACCTCCAAATTCTGTTTTCAAAGGTGCCGGGGATCCTCAGTTTCTGAACCTTCCTGGGGATCCGGAGTAATAAGCATGAAGTCCCCCTATAACCAGCATAGGCCTCCATGTTTTCTAGCCTGCTAAGTCATTTGTCAGGAGCCATCTGGTCCCCGCAGGAAACA